AAAAAAAAAAAAAAAAAAAAAAAAAAATATTTGAAATTGAATTTTACTTTTCAATTTCAGTAAGCCCATAGCCTACTGGCGTCGCCACAGCTTTATATTTATTTTTTGAAGGTAGATCAATCCCAACTTTGTTAATTTTAGGAAGGATATCAACCTGAACGTTTACAATTTGGGATTTATTTATTACAGTCAACGAAAACAAACACTAAAGTACCAAACATAGTGCAATGTTTTGTATTTTTGTTAAAAAAACTCTAAACGAATAGTACACTAAAAATAGTCCAAAATAAATTACAAAATTTTCGCGAGCACAAACTCTAAAATTTAAGTATACTGTTTCCGACATCTTCTGTAAAATTTTAAATGTTCTATGTTTCCATGAAATACAGGACAGGTTAAAAAAAAGGAAAACTTGATTTTTCCTGAGTCAATTCAATCATTTCGAAAGATATGGTGCTAGCTATTTTGGCAACATCAGCAAGATGAACAGGAATCTGATAGACTTTACGAAGATCAATAGTTGAGAAAACATTACAATCTTCTAGCCAGTGTGTCAAGGTGTGAATATGCGGAATAGGATAACAATTGGACCCGGTTATAGAATTAGGTCTCCTGTAACAATCGCAACACCGCCATTCCAAGTTTTTCTTTTTTACTACATGCAAAGGACTTGCCCAAGTACTGTTAGATAGTCTACAAATTCTAGCGTACAGGAGAGATTGAATTTCTACTTTAGCAGCTTTCATCACCTCAGGCGAAAGGCGAAAGAACTTTGAGAAAACTGGTCATCCATTGGTGACAATGTGGTGAAATATATATCACGAGTTGAACCTGAAGAAAATGGTAGAACGCTAGTAATTACTGAGAATTCCTTTAATATAGCATGGAATTCATTGTTACTATTGATTGCTGAGAGCCCAGATGTTGGATGATTGACTGTAGTAAGGGCACAGCTGATGGAAAAGTTGGTAACGCCGTCAAGCTATTTAAGATGTCGCAAGTCGGCGACAAGCTTATAATCATTAAGAGAGCCAGTCCCCAAGATAGATTGCGAAACTTCAACGATGGTAATGTTCCATAAGGAAGAACGGCGTAAGCCCAAATTCAATGTTAGCCTTTTTTTAGCAAACGTTTTGATTAGGAATTTGTTAGCTGCGAATAGGTACAAATGCTGGTCTGGCGTTCCTATGAGCATTGGGTGAATTGACACTAACTTTAGCTGTAGTGTCAACCAAGAACTTCAACTCTACGTTTATGTCGTAGAAAGTAAGTCGGCAATATGATTGAGGTTGTCTGTCTGGTATCCTCGTTAGAGACGGACGATCTAATTTATCTTTTTGCTACACAGTTCTTTGCATTTCTTGGGGTTACGACCAAACTAGCGATGATACTAACAGAGACCCACGTCATCACGGTCGCCACTGTCTCCTTTGCTACGGTCTGAGTTCGGCTACGTCTATTTGATGGTGAAGTGAAACATCGGTAGCTGTGTTAATTTTGCCAAACGGACTTTCTGAACTGAGGAACAGTCGTACGCTTCGCGATTTTATCAGCCATAATAGTAATTTTGTACAGAGATTCGCTTCTGATTGAAATGATAGCACGCATGTTGGCTGGCAAATACGTAAACCACATGGACCCTAATAACGCGTCATCCATTTGTATCTCGGTCAAGTTTTTCATTTTATGCAGGAACTCAGAATGCCGCAAATCTCCTAGATACATCTATTGCAGAAGTTTCTTCAACCTTTTTTGCTCCAAAATTGAAAATTCCTTAAGTAGAGTAGAGTGGAGTAGAGATTTTCAGCAGGCATGTTACGCACCATATCACTAACTTGAGCGAGGATAACTTCATCAATTGACGCAACCACTGTATGGAATTTAGTCTGTTTCGTAGTAACACTTGATGTGTCGAACTGCCTTAATATATTCGTACCTTAATATATTCGTATTAGTTTCACATTTTATCGGATATTTATTATATCTAGTAACACTCATTCGCAAATAACAGGTCATTGGTACACAGATTATGATTTTAGAATTCTATGAAAAATTATACTATAGAAAATATATGTCTCGTCTTTGGGAAAAATTATAAATTATAAAAAATGTTGTTTGTAAACTAGTGTTATTTGACTAATTCAATATCACAAGGTTACTAAGTAAATAAATAGTTTTCACAATATTTTAATGTTACTGCAATACAACTAATACAGTACTATAAAAACGCAAAAATAATTATTAACAAAATTTTTGTAGAAAACGTCTATACAATGTCAATTTTCAATGTTAATTTAAATATAATTCTGTTTTTTAAAATCTAATGTAACAATTATTGTAAAATAAAATAATTAATTATTGACTATTCTGAAGACCTTAGTGTATAAATTGAAATAATACAGAGAACTAAAAAAATTAGCTTTTTTCCTGTATTAGTCAGTTATTTCCTCAATTATATCTATATCTATTTCCCTCGTATCCTCTTCTACAATATTAATTAAACTAATGTCAGTTCTATTATTTTCTGCAAAAACCTCTTCTATTGGATTTTCTTGTATATTTTCATCTAGTATCATGTACGAAATATAGGTATTACTTTCCCCAATATCGTTAGCTTCATCGTAGTCCACAACCATGATTGGTATATTGTCAGTGCAGTTTGGTGCATCGTCAACATTTTTCAATAAGTCGTCAAAATCATGTGGTGGATTATCAACATCAGCAGCATAGTTAAGTGATTCGTTAACAACGTTTAATGGATCATCAGCATCATCAATACTATTTTGTAATTCGAGTTCTGAAATGCTTTGGTTATTTTGGAGTTTTGGTAACTGTAGTAACTCATAGTTAGAATGTCTACTCTTAATGTGCTTTCGTAATAAGTAATTTGAAATAAATGATGCATCACAGCCATCCTTGATACGTTGTGAGCAGATAAATCTAAAAATAGAAGTAAATGTATTGAATAATACTCGTATATAAATTATTACTTCGACATACTCTTTATGATCCGAATGACGCTTTATATGTAAATTTAAGGCATATTTTCGTCCAAACATTCTATTGCATATGGGACATTTATGTTGTAATTGTTCTCTATGCATAGCCATGTGTATATCAAAGGAGTTTTTATAATTTGTAGTAAATAAACATTCATTGCATTCGTAGAGGAAAGGCTTATGGATCTGTTAAATATAAAACTTTATAGTAAAGTATAAACAATGAGATTGAGAATTTTACATACAAATGTGTTGTGTTGTTTCAATTCACTTTTATAGTAGAAACCTTTGTCACATGATTTGCAGAAATAACGTTTAATGGACTCGTGAACAATTTTTTTATGCTTCTCCAAATTTCTTCCATTTTTGAATATTTTATGGCATTCATTACACCGCATTTCTTGGTGGCAAGAGTCCATATGCTTTTCGAGGAGTGCCTTATTTTTAATTATACTTTTACAAATTGAACATTTCAAATTTTCTATTAAAAGAGAAAAATATTTAACATTTATAAAAACATAAAATATATAAAATATACATAAAATATAAACATAAAATATATTGTTAATAATTAAATTCTTTACAAGTTATCTGATTTAAAGACACCGATACGTCGGTATATATCTCGGTATGTAGTAAAGACGCATAATTAGTAAACTAGTATTTTAGTTTTTATCACACATATAACTTGTATAATTATAAAGGAAATAATAATACATATTTGGACTATAAACTGTAATTACTAAACTAATATAATAAAATAAGTTGTCCTAAATATAATAAGTAAATTCTAAACGTAAACTGAAAGAAAAATTTTTAAAAAAATATAAGGTTTAACTTAGAGCGGTAACACTGTAGAAACTTGCTGTTCTTTCGACCTGAATTCTCCTAACATCTATAAAATAAATTAACACATTGAAATTGTTGTTGTAAACTGTACAGGTTGTCCTGAAAAGCAAGCATATATAAGTATATTATCAAATTGGAACAAGATGGGGAATGTGAAGGAATGAAGGCCCAGAATTTTACGTGGATATCTGCCGTGAAAGCTTAACACAACTGTGTTCTTCACACACGCCCCATTGGAACTCCGAAGAATTAAGACGGTACCAGTTGAAATTATGTATTTGGGCATAACTGCCCCCTTGGTGAAAAGCTATTCCTATCTAATACCTCTGCTGACCCGGTTGTCAAATGCAACTCCACATTGAATGATTATAAATGAAAACATTATAAACGCGTTTATTTGGGTTTTAATCACAACCACCACGACACTCTTTTTAAGGAGCCAACGCCAATGGTCAGGATAGCTGAAACTGCGGGACAGTGTAAAGGAAGGTAAGCTATCCGAAACGGACAGTTAAAAAGAAACCTCATTCCTAAATAGAGCGAAGCTATAAATCAATACAGCTCAAATTTGTTAAAATGAAAACAGATAAACCAATTATGAAGAACGTAGCTGCAGTTGGGACATCTGTTAGTAACAGATGTTATAACCAGTAACCATCTTTAATACCAGAAAATTTCAGAAGGAAGCATGTCGTAAACCTTGTTCTAATACAACCGTGGCCTTAAAGAAGATGCGGCCTTAGTATCAAAGGCGGAAAGCCTTTCTCCATATTTTACCTCATTGATATTATTTATGAGCTATAACGTTTCTATTCATTGTCATTTTTAAGGTAACCAGCATACAGAAAAAAATCTAATTAATATGATTTTTTTTTCCAAAATTCGTCTATCAATTTGTATGATATTTACACTATTTAATTTAATTTTAATTGATATATATATACATATAAAAGTTCTTACTTTAGTAGCTCCCATATAAAACGTTACTTACAATTCGATTAACATCTTTATTAATATCGAATATGTTATGAGCTATCCATTTGCAATTTCTTTTAAAGTTGGTACATCGTATACACTCCAAAAGATTCGTCAGGATTTATTTCAATAAAGATTCTCACTTTAGAAATTGACGTCTATTCGAAAAAGATTTTGTAACTTATAAAGTAATGAAGAGCTTTATGTATGCCGAGGAACTTGTAAACTATCCAACTGAATTCTCAATTTTGTTAGATATTTCTGGGGTTCTATTGCACACATTCTTATTTAAAGTTGGAACGCGAATTATTCTTTTGACACTTAAATTTTCAAGTTTTATAAAACAACAATATAATTTAAGGTATCGGTTGAGTTAAAGTAAAGATAAACGATCTTAGCAATACACTCAAGGTATAGCCAATAAATATTTATATATATTATAAACTAACTTACTATTATTATGACTTCTTGCAACGTGTACGGCTAAAGACATTTTAGTTGGACAAACTTTTTTACAAAATTGACACGTAAAAGCCCGTGTATTACTACATGTTTCCATGTGCTCTGCTAGTTGTTCAGTGTTCTTAAATGTTTCTTTGCATGTGACGCATGTCTCTTCTAAATGGCAATGAGTTTTATGACTATGATACCCACTCCACTGTACATATGTTTCTCCACATCCCTTGTGTAAGGAACCACAATTATTACAAAATTTTATAATATAATCAGTTAGTACTTACCTTAACAGCGCACATAAAGACTCTACTCAGAGCTAATTTCCATTGATCAACTGAATGATATTTTTCATGAGTGCGTAAGCTTTTATAACACGTAAAGTTTTCTTCACACGTTAAACAATGGTAAAGATTGTCGTCATGTATGCGAGTTGCACGATGCGTCTGCAAATGGTAAGCGCTCTTAAAATTCGATGAACAGAACTCACAGGTATATGCATATGTGATTATTTCCTCTTCGAGCGTCGGTTTATTACATGTTAAGTGATTCTAAATAATCAATATGTAAATATTATAAAGATAATTATGTTATTTCATTTCAATTACATTTAAGTTGGCTTCGTCCCTCGTGATTAAACCGCATGTTGTACAGATAAAACTTTGTACCTGCGATTCAATTAGTTCATGGTTTTTTATATGATTTTTATATGAACGGCAAATAGAATTTGGAAATTGTTTGTTGCAATATGTGCAGGAGACTGGATTTCCCGCAAGGTGAGAAATTTTCTATAGATTGAATTTACTTTTTGAATGTTTTTAATTACATTAAAAATGCTTTTAAATTTACCATATGCGTTGCAAGTATAGATTTATTGGCATATTTCTTTGGACAGAAATCGCAATAATATTTTAAGTTAGATTTTTGAGTGTTACAATGTGCTTCAAACCGCTCCTTGTCCTTAAATATGCGATCGCAACTGTAAAAGAATAATTATTAAGAAAATTCTGACTTGTATAAATTTTATATTTACCAAGTGCAAGTCAATTGATCCGATTGTTCATGAAAATATTGTACATGTTCAAATAATTCATTATCGTCTGCTATGTTCAAACCACAAATTAAGCAGCATTTGGGCCTATGCTTTATCAAATGAAACTGCAAATGAAATTTATACCTGCAATTAGAAAAGTTAGAAGTTTTCCTCTAAATTCTGAATAATAATATATTGGATGAGAGTATACCGTTTAAATGATTGGAAGTCCATCTGGCAATCACTGCAATGGAGCCTTAATCCAGATTTAAGTTTAAGTTTTTGATAACAAGAATGTTTGTTAAGCACCAAAAAGTTCGAGAAAGGCAGTCCACAGTCAGAGCAGCAACCATATATTTTTAACCTTGGATTATATTTTAATATATATTTGATAAATATTTGAGTTATCAACTAGTGTTGATTTAAAAGACAACATTTTTACATACTTGTTTAGGTCACCATGAAGAAAAATTATATGGCGCGTTAGTAATTTCTCATTAGCGAATGCCTCTGTGCAGTCCCTTAAAACACAATGGAGCTCGTTATTTATAGTGTTATGATTGTTATAGATATGATTTAAAAGTTCTTGAAAAGTTTTGAAAGATTCCGCACAGTACTTATAAAATATAATATAAAAATAAATCATTTTTATTTTACAAATATATCGCAGCGCTTACATTGCATTCAGTTCTCCAGTCATAATCCAACTCCATTAAGTTACTTCGTATTGAAGCGCTCAAATATGTCTCTAAATTATCATCTGGTATATATAAGAAATCAGCTTCTTAATATTGAAAAAAAATAAACATACAATACAAAAATACATATAAAAAACAACGAAATGCTTTATTCGAAGTTACCTTCTACAGAACCTTCTAAGATGTCATAGCTGCTGCCAATACTATTGTCATCCTCTGTTTCAAAAAACACATCTTCATCATATCCAATTGAACTTATATCAATTTCCTCTTTTACAATATTCATATTAATTCTTTTGTTAAATATTTATCTCAATTTATTAAACAAACGCGGTCTCTGATGTCACCTGCGCAATGTCAATATAAACAATTACGCGTTTGTTATAGAAGGAATGAATGGAAATGAAATGACATTTATGGTAGCAAGGGCATCAATTAACCAGAGACGTATTTTCGTGTTATTAATGTTGCAAAAAATAGAAAATTTTTTTTATTTGCGGTTTTGTGCCAATTTTTCGTGCGGAATAGGTTTTAATACTAGGATTAAGTGAAAACCGATCACTTGGTTGCTATATTTAGTTTGAAATATATTGCCACATTATGGTGGGCATTTGTTCAAAATGTTCAATTTTTTGACAATTTTTAAGTTTTATAAATCTATTTTAAAGAAACTTTCCATAACAAGTTTTCGGCGATAAATTTGATGTGTTCACGTTTCTATTGTCTCATTTAAGCAGTCTTACTGATTAAAGTTGCTAATGAGTATTATTTACCAAACAAAGAACTTTCTTTATAAATGAGTTCATTATATATAAATCGACTAAATTCCCACAAGGCAAATCATCGAAATTTGAAATATGTTTTACATGTAAAATGTAAATAAGCAAGCTATTTTACATACAAAAATCAGCTTATGCAAATGGAAATGACTATATTTATATTTAAATTTCACTAACAAAGTAGTTTTGGTTGCCGTTGGTATATAATATTACTAGATAAGATTCAGATATGATACTTCGATAAATGGTGAGTACGCTAACCTATTATTGCAAATTTGAATATTTATGATCGTTATTTTCACTTCTGGTTTTCACTCCATTAGTAAATAATTTCTGGTTATTTAATGCGCATGCTATATGGATTTAATTAAAATATTTGTGGTCTTAAATAATAAGAGATAAATGCAATGAAAACAATTAATTGTTTGCATAAAGAATCGCTACTTACTTAATACATTTAAGTGTACTAAAGCTAAGTTACTATTTGGGCTGATGCAGCTCTGACAACTACATATAGTCATGTAGAACATATCGTTTTTGTTTAATTAATGAATGGTGTTACGTTATTGATTTAAATTTCCGCATTTAACTTAAATATGACAACAGAACGACTCTTTGTTTCCAGATTATGGGTCGGGTCTCAGCATAATGGCAAACAGTCTTATGACTTGAAACGATGAGTACACCACAATCATATGGTCTATATAACATAACCCTAACTCGCTGGTTGCTCCCATTGTTTTTTTAACATCACCTTATTATAAGTATTTTGTACATACCACGCTGTTCACAATTTTTTCTCTTTAAT